TCATCACCAAGGTCTGATTTTTCACAAAAAAATTTGCAACCTCCAGCATAAATGGGTTTACATCTTCCTCATTTATAAGGTCTCTTCAAGCTGGCACATTTAGTCATCTTTGACTCCTTCCCATCATATAATTAGTGACTAAATCCTGCCTATAGTCTACATCTAAAATTTCTAATTTACCCTGTCCTCTCCTCTCTCCATCTCACTTCCATTTTCAGATATAAGACCAAAGGCCCTGCTACTTCTGACCTAGACAATTCAGCCTTTCTTGAGTACCCATTACATACCACACACAGTGAAAGGAATTAGAATATGAGGACTAATAAAGCAAAGTAATACCGTTACACCTATCTTGGGAGAGAGAAATGGAAGAATAAAGTACAACACGATAAATATTACAATTAGAGCAAAACCTACAAGATGTCAACTTCTTTCCTATTTGATCTAATCTTACAATACAACCTGAATTCTCTTTCTGGAATATAAACTAGATTATGTCACCGTGTTGTAAGACCTCTGATGATTCGACCCCATTGCCTACAGGATAAAGTCCAAATGCTTTAATATATGCAAACACTTCACAATTTCATCCCAACTTACCTAAAAACTTCATTCTATTACTTTTCTTTCACTTCACATCCTATGACCCAGTCACGTATAACTAAATGCTGCTGTGATATGCTGGGCACTTGCATAATATCTAGTGATTGTGTATCCTGCACAAGTTCTTCTTCCTTATGTCTACCAGCAGAAATCCTGTCCTATCATCAAATCAAACTTCCTCTTTGAAGCCTTTATTAACCTTCTCTGCCAACGTAGATTCTATACAATCTGGTTTTTTGTTTGTTTGTTTGAGACAGGGTCTCACTCTGTCACCCAGGCTGGAGTGCAGTGATGTGATCTTGGCTCATGGTGGCATCAGGCTCCCAGGCTCAAGCCATCCTCCCATCTCAGCTTCCCAAGTAGCTAGGACTACAGATGCATATCACCATACCCAGCTAATTTTTGTATTTTTTATAGAGACGAGGTTTTGCCACGTTGCTCACACTGGTATTGAAATCCTGAGCTCAAGTGATCTGCCTGCCTTGGTCTCACAAAGTGCTGGGATTACAGGCATAAGCCACTACACCCAGCCCACAATCTGCTGTATTATCACTTTGTATTGCAACTTGTTTTTTTCTATCTACCACTAGACTGTGGTATTTGTAGGGACAATAACTATATCTTGTTATTTCTATCCTTCCCAGAGTCTAGTATCAGTAAATATTCAAGAAATAGTTGTTAAATGTATAATGGGGGCTGGGTGCAGTGGCTCACATCTGTAATCCCAGCACTTTGGGATGCTGAAGTGGGTGGATCACCCGAGGTCAGGAGTTCAAGACCAGCCTGGCCAACATGGTGAAACCCCGCCTCAACTAAAAATAAAAAATTAGATGGGCATGGTGGCACACACCGGTAATCCCAGCTACTTGGGAAGCTGGGACAGGAAACTATCACTTGAACCTGGGAGGCAGAGGTTGCAGCAAGCTGAGATTGTGCCAACACACTCTAGCCTGGGAAAGAAGAGTGAAACTCCACCTAAACAAAACAAAACAAACAAACAAACAAAAAAGCTGTATAATAGGGTGGAAACATTTGCAGAGAACCAAAATGCACTATCGTTACTTTTTTTTTTTTTTTTGCTGTTTGGAATCGATAGGTCTACTATGTGCCACCACCCCCACATAAACCTGGAGCCCAAAGGAAAGTATGCTTTATTTCCCCCCTCTTCCTATTCATCAGCTTTTTATCCTTCCATCTCATAAATAACAGTAAACAAGACAGAAAGAACCCCTGCCCTCTAAAGGGCTTATATTCAAGTAAGGAGAGGCAATTAATAGGGAAACATACATATATATGGTCATTTCAGATAGTGATGAATGCAATGAATAAAATAAAGCAGTTTGACGAGACAGAATGTGCCACAGGAGAAACGTGCTATTTTAAATGGGAATGAGGAAGAAGTGATAGAATGTTTCTCTGAGAAGGTAAGACATAAGCTGAGGCCTAAAGGATGAGAAACAACCCACTATGCAAAATTTTAGGGAAATAATTCTGCAAGCAGAAGGAATTGCAAGTGTAAAGTCTCTGAAGCAGAAATGCACATGGTTGGTCAGGCATGGCGGCTCACATCTGTAATCCCAACACTTTGGGAGGCTGAGGCAGGAAAATTGCTTGAGGCCAGGAGTTCGAGACTAGGCTGTGAAACATCATCTCTACAAAACATTTAAAAATAAAAAAATAAGCTGGGTGTGTTCTTATGCACCAGCTATTAAGTAGGCTGAAGTAGGAGGATCGCTTGAGTCCAGGGGCTGGAGGCTGCGTGAGCTATGATCATGCCACTGCACTCCAGTACGGGCAACAGAGCAAGACCCTGTCTCAAAAAAAAAAAAAAAAAAAAAAAGAGACAATAAGAAGAAATGCACTTGGCTGTTTGAGAGACTGTGTGTCTAAGAAAGGAAATTAGTTTAGAGAAGCAGGGCCTTGTAGGTGGTAGCCATGATGGAGGCCTGACTGCACCTGCCTTGACTTTGGAATTTTGTAGGTTACAATCTTCTCCTCGGTAATATTAGAGCAATAAAATGACGGAATGCAGTATGCAGCCCGCTCTATTGTTAGGAAGAGGCCAGACAATTCTGAAAGTATCTTTTCTAGATACAAGGCCATAACGGTATGGTCCCAGGGCTAATGAAAACTTGACAAGCAGAGAAGAGTAAAAGCACCTGAAAAGAAAGACAAGTTCTTCTGACTACAAGCAAGTCCAAATGAGAAACATCAAAATTATCTCAGATTCAAAGAGGAAACAAAACACAATACTACTCTGAAAATACATATGGGCTATAAATGTATGCTTTTAACTGAATGAATTTTTCCATTCCCATGTAAACTTATAATACAAATCTAGACTAAAGTGATTAAACAGATTTCCACTTTTAATTCACCAAGGTTTTTCTTCACTTTCACAGAAATGAAACAATTGTCTGACGTTTTGAGATTTCAAAGATTTAGATGCATTAGAAACTGCCTCTTAGCAATCATTTTGTGGATGTTTATGTCATAATTATTTAATCCATCCAAGTAGTACTGTGATGTTAAAGTCAATCTATGACATGAAGAAATATTCACAAAACTATTCATTAAAGCAACTCTGTAATTGCTAGAAAGTAAAGCAGTATGAAATTACACATCTTACTCCTATTATAAGTAGCATCTGCTGGCTTTGCTAACCTGAACACAATTCTGAATATAAAGACCCTTTTATTACCCTAATTAAATCCTGAATCTCCAGGTTACCAGCCTTCTAACAGTAAAAATAAATCCATTCTCATCATTCTTAAATTCAAATGGTCTCTGACTAGTATGGTGATGTTTCTCCAAGGTTCTCTATGAGGGATCAGAGGTAAGATTTTGTCCATGTTCTCTATGCAGGACCATCACAAATAGCAGAAGTGGTCAGGCGCAGTGGCTCATGCCTGTAATCCCAGCACTTTGGGAGGCCGAGGCAGGTGGATCACTTGAGGCCAGGAGTTCGAGACCAGCCTGGCCAACATGGCAAGAGCCCGTCTCCATAAAAATACAAAAAAAAAAAA